ACCCTAGGCATTTGTGAAAACTTATCAATGATATGATGGATATTGTCTAACTGAATTTGAATAGTTTGAGAAAAATCAGACAAATTAAAACAACACATTCCTGGGAACTGTTCACATCCCATATGTTCTTTTAACAGTAGATAGTCTATAGTCGCACGATTTTGGAGCGCTGCGACATGCACTTCTCCTAATTCTTGGTTGAGTTCCGACAGTATAGATCCAGTCAAATTTGTTGTTTTACTGTATGCACAGCAGGCCAGCTTTATTTTTTAAGATAGTTTTAAAATAGTTTTATTGCAATATAATTTACCTGCCATAAAATATGCCCTTTTAAATAGTACAATTCAGTGATTTTTAGTATATTCACAGAGTTGTACAACCATCACCACTACCTGATTTAAGAACATTTCCATCATTCTCAAAAGAAACCCTATACCCATTAGTAGTCACTCCTCATTCTGCCCTGCTTCTGACTCGTAACTACTTCATTCTTTTTCTTGCAGCTGAATAATATTCCATTGTACAGACATACCACACTGTGTTTATCCTTTCACCAGTTTTTTCCAGCTTTATTAATTTGCTGCTATGCACATGTACAAGTTTTTGCGTGGACATACATTGTTACTTATCTTGGATAAGAGTGGGGTTGCTGGTCCATGTGGTAACTGTTTAACATGTTGAGGAGTTGCCAGACTGTCCTCCAAAGTGGCTGAACCATTTTACAGTCCCACCAGCAATGATGAGTTCCAGTTTCTCCACATCCTCACCAACATTTGCTATTGTCTGTCTTTTTTATTCTAGCGATCTTAGTAGATGTGAGACAGTATCTCACTGTGGTCAGTCCTGTTCCATTGACCTGCCCTCTTCCCATGACGCCAGGAAGTTTTATCAGGGTTTCCTCTGATCTTCATTTGGCTGCGCTCAGGCTTCCCTAGTCATCTTCATTTACCTTGTATATGAAATAGAGGCATATGAGCCGCCACTGTAGAAATGAGAGCTCATTCAGTGCCCTCAGCCAGGCTTCCCCCTTATTTTTCTAGCAACATATGAAAGTAAAGAGCCTGGAAGATGCAGAAAAGAATCCCAAAGCCATCGACACGTGGATTGAGAGCATCTCTGAGTTACACCATTCCAAGCCCCCTGCAACTGTGCACTATACCAGGTAAGAAATACAGTATTCTTCACCAGAGTGACGTCACCACAGTAACCCATGGTAACCTTCACACGGGTGGGCTCACCGCTTCTGAGAAGATGGCTGGAAGGCTGAGGACCTATCTGATGAACCTGTGGTCCTGTGGATCCTGGCAGCTACTGGCCGAGATTGCAGACATAAAGATTGTGATTTATCTGGTGTTATTACTTAGTCAGCTCCTCCAAACCCCAGGCCCTGGGTAAGCGTGGGTCTTCAGTCTGTGTTCTCCTGAAATCCTAATGTGTCAGGTTGACCACCGACCTTCATCCTAGAGTGTCCTGATCCAGAGGCTGCTGATGTCATCAGTCCATGTTTCCTGTTCATATTTACCTCTGTACTTTTAGGCCCATGCCCGATATTGACACGCTGATGCAGGAATGGTCCCCAGAGTTTGAAGAGCTTTTGGGCAAGGTGAGTGGGAGATAGCAGGAGCTAAGAAAGTATGTCACTCATTTCAGGGCCAATGCTTCCTCTCCTCCTATAGTGTCGTCATCACTCACATGGCATTAACATTAACAAAACTTAATTTTCACTAACTGAACATCTTTGTCTGACTAACACATCAGATCAAAAAACAACATAGCTAACATCCTCGAAGACCCCTCATCCCCCTACCTCCCAGCATAACCGCTGTCCTGATTTCTAACAGCATAGACTAGGTTTGCCTGTTTTGTGTTCTGTCTAAATCGAATCATACTCTTTTGCTCACCTATATTGCTTGTCCATATGGAGATTCACCCATATTGTGTTTGCATTGTGGCTGTACATTTGTTCTCATTACTGTAGCGGTGTTCCACTGTTTGAATATATGACAATTTATCCCTCCTGTAAATAGCCACTTGGGTAGCTTCCAATGTGGCGTTATTATAGATGGTGCTACCGTGACCGTTTTAACACGTGCCTTTGGTGAACATACGCACCTCCTGTATTACTTTAAGCTCCATCTTCACAGAGGTATTTATGCTATTCTAAGAAGCTGATGTCCCATTCATAATTACTCCACAAATTTAAAAAAACACCTAGAAATGAATTTAACAAGAAGTTGGTAAGACTTTTTTGAAAACAGATTATAGAACTTTAATGAAGGGCAAGACACAAGATGTGAATGAATGAGGAGTGCAGCTCCTCGCAGCAGATGGGGGGATCCACCTCCCAGCACTGTCAGCCCTCCCTGCATCACTGTGTACGTGTATTGCCACTGCAGTCAGGATGTTAACTGCATTTTTTAGAACTTAAACATTCAGCAGTCAAGTTTATCTGAGACAATCAATTTTTAAGACTAATCATGAAAATTTTAGGAAAAAATAATGGGAGGATTTGCCCTATCAGACATTAGAACACATCAGGATGCTATAGTAAATAACACAGTAATGTACTGGCATAGGAATAGAAATAGATCAGCACATAATAATCCAGAAATAAACCCACGTGTATGTGGGCTTTGGACATATAAGAAAGGTAGTATTTTAAATGACTGGAGATAGAATGGGTCGTGATGAGATGACTGACTAGCCATTTGAAAAAAATTAAGTTAGGTCTGTGCCTCAGCCATATGCATACATGAACTCCAAATGAGTTAAAGTTAATGTGAAAGTAAAGCTACCCAGTACTATTTTTTAAAATAGAAATATTTAATACTGTAAGGATAGTTAGGTGTTAGCATAATAAGAAACTTAAAACTGATAGTGGGGAAAATGTGACATTTCAGACTCATAGAAATAAAAAGTTTTAAGTACCAGTAGTTACTATAAACAGAGTTAAAAGAGTGATGGATTGAGAAAAATTATTCTCTCTCACACATGCATACACACACACATACATATAACTATATTTTTATATAGTAAATATAATCAAATATACATATATGACAAGATTACTGTCCAAGTCCAAGGGAAGAGCTCCTACATACCAGGAAAAGAAAGCTGAGCAAAGAGAACTAGCCTGTTTAAAAGGGCTGCCCCAGCCCCTCCATGTTCCCCACCCTCTTTCCTGCCTTTTCTGCATACTTAGCCTCTAACGTACTTATCTTGTTTTTTGTTTCTCCTTAAAAAATATTACCTCCATGAATACAGAGGGTTTTTTTTTCTTTGTACATGTTTATTAAAGAATTTGGAAACCACCTCTTTCCTCACAGCATTTTAAAGCTGTGGCTGAGGAAAAATATCTGCTTAGGGAATTGAATAGATTGTAGTACATCTATTTAGTGAAATACTTTTGATACTGTTGACTAGATATTGATAGTATTGAACAGATTATAGTACATCCATATAGTGAAATATTATTTGACCTTATTTCTCTGATATGCAGAAAAGTCAATGATATGTTAAGTGAAAAAAGGAAGTGGCAGAACTGTGTAAAAAGAGAACATTTTTTAAAGAAACTAGTGGTTTTTAAACTTACAGGATGACTTGCTTAGATCCAGAACCTGTCACTTGAGTTGTTATGTCCACTTTTTTGGTTCCTATGGTGTCCCATCTGGTGTTATGACACCAAGTAACTGTAAATACTTGCTACAATGTGGGGCCAATTTCTTCTTCACAGGTGCACACCAGGAAGATAGCATGGCGGTAGATTTAACTTATAAAATCTTCTGGCCTTTTTATATCATCTGCTACTCTGGTGGCCAATGGGTATGGCCAATTCCATATACGGATCAGAGGGAGAAAACTGCATGTTGTAGTGTTATTTGCCAGGACGGCCATAACAAAGTACCGGACCTCGTGGCTTAAACAGCAGACATTACTTTTCTCACATGTCTGGAGACTGAAGTCCGAGAGCAAGTTGATTCCTTCCAGGGCCGCTTTCCTTGGCCATGTTCCCCGTGTCCTGACACGGTCGTTCCTCTGCATGTGTCTGTGTCCTAATTTCCTCTTCTTGTAAGGACCCCGTGGGTAAGTCTTATAAGTCATACTGGCTTAGGGTCCACCCTCACGACTTCATCTAACTTCATTATCTCTTATAAGATCCTATCTCCAAACACAGTCACATACTGAGCACTAGGGGTCAGGACTCGCACTTGAGTTTTGACGACACAATTCAGCCATGACATGCCCTGTGCTAGGAGCTCTTCTGCTCCCGAGAGAGAGGCGCTGGGACCGCTGCAACTTCAGCCCCTTGACTTGGCTGCATCTGTGCCCCTCCTAGGTGAGCCTGCCCACCGCTGAGATTGATTGCAGCCTGGCAGAGTACACTGACATGGTCTGTGGTAAGTGCTTCCATCCTGTCCTTGTCCCCATCTCTGCATAAATTCTTGTGGGTTTTTGAAAAGGCTTGTTTACTCTGGGAAGAGACATGTTGAGTTATAGCCTTCACTTTCAGCCCGCTGTGTTGTTCGGCAGCACTGAAGGGTGGTATTTGGGCTTATGTGAGTACCTGCTGGGTATTCAACCCTCAAAATCATAGTAATACATCCCATTCGGGAGGGGACTGGCCATCCTAAACAGCAGTGGCCCCAGTTCCCAGAGTGTTGATTGCTTCTGCTCACGGGAGTTCTTCATTTCAGCCGTCCTAGACATCCCTGTCCACAAGAGTCGGATTCAGTCTCTCCACCTGCTCTTTTCCCTCTACTCAGAATTCAAGAACTCACAGGTGAGACTAGCGTTAGTGACCAACTTAGGCCACGGTGAGGGTCACCACAGCCTTCACTGTGCTCAGTCTGCTGTGACTGTCCCGTGGCAGTGGAGCACTTCTGCTGGAGTCACCATTCCCCTTCCCCATGACCGAGAGAGCAGCCAAGCAGGCAGGGGTGGGGCCTGCAAAGGAAGGGGAGCTGGGAGAGACGAGGGCCGCAGACGGGCCAGTGCAGGATTTACAGAGGCGCTCATTCGTGCAGGAGAACAAGGTGGCTTGAGAATGGAAGCAGGAATGGGGGGGAAAAGGTTCACTTTAAAGAAGGTGGGGCAAATTTCTACTTGTTTTTCAACGACAACACCATGGATTGTTTGGGAAGTAGAACTGGGAGAAAATAGGAGCTTAAAGGGCTGTAAAGATGTTAGTCTTGCTAAAGTGTAGCAACTAGCAGATCTCAGATACTCCACATTCCTTCTCCTCTTCCCTCACAGCATTTTAAAGCTCTAGCTGAAGGCAAGAAAGCATTCACTCCTCCCTCCAACGCCACCTCACAAGCTGGAGATGCGGAGACATTAACCTTCAGCTGAGCCACCTCCCAGGTTGCTGTGTTTCAAGGCTGAGCTGACTCCTCTGTGCCAGCTGAGGAGGGCTCGCTGTCAGCCACCTGGCATCCTTGCCTTGACTCAGGCACACTACACGTCCTGTTACCCTCTCCAGACAGCACTGCGCATGTGTGTTAAATGGCTGCTGCCTGCCTCAGCTTTCCTTCCCATGGGAATCATGCTTGTGTACCACGGTGAGGATTTGTGCTGGAAGAATTGGAATTTCTGGGATCCCGGGATACTCAGGTTGAGAGGAAAGCTTAAAAGATACTCCTTTTGAGATAGATAGCAATGGAAATATTTTCTTTCATTCTTAAAGTTAGCTGGCAATGATTTTGCAAATAAAATGCTGTATCTTTCAGGTTATCCTGCTATTCCATAATAATATGAAAGACAAACGGCAGACAGAGCTAAAGCAGAGACAACGAACTTGGTCCAGTAACAGGCCTCACATGAGTAACAGTTCAAGCAAATCAACTTGGGAAATAAAATCAAAGCTGCTCCTCCAAAGTTGTCAGTAGAGGGGAATCATTTTTCTGCAGAACTTATTTTTTCTAGAGGTGTCTGCCTGCCTCACGGGCTAGCTGCCTGGCTAGCTCCAGACCAGTCCGCCTGTGCGCTCAGGGAGGCTGATATTGCAGTGATCCAGGTGAGAGGTGCTCACTCCTTGGATTAGTAGAGACGGACAGATTCAGGAAATATTTTGGAGGTTATATCAGCCAAGCTCCAGACAGGGAGTCAGAAACCAGGCTGGTTATTTCTAACAAAGGGTGTTCAGTGTGGGAAGTTGGTTACAAAAGTGTTAGAAGGGCTGAAGGGGCAGCAGCAGAACAGAAGGCGCGTGTGTGGTGTGCGGGCCTGTGCTGGGCTGGAAGCTGGGCTGCGGAGAGCCTGGCGGGCTGGCTTCATGGGGCTCAGCTGCCACCCGCCACCGTCATCCGCTTCCACAGCAGCTGTGAACACTGGCTGCTGCCTCCCTTCTCCCACTTTCCCGTCCCTGCAGCGCCTCCCATGGGCAGAAGCGAGCAGCTGGCCCTGGCAGTATGAGGGGCGAGTGCACAGCCAGCCAGCAGGCCTCAAACTTGGCGACAGGTCAGAGGTGGAGGGTGGAGGGAACAAAATCGGGGATGACTCCCAGTTTTTGACATAAGCAACTGAATAGGTAATGGAGCCAAGTACTGACGTGGGGGTAAAATGGGGCAAGAATTGGAGGGAAAATTATATTAAAATGCCACACTGTCAGCCTAGCATCTCCCCAGGGAACACGTGGGCGTGAGGGCGGTTGTTTCTTAGACTCTTAAACCAACTAAGATGTTTACATTTTGCTTGACTTTGAGGAGCACAAACTTCTGTGCTCAGGCCTCACTCGGCCATCCTCTCGGGACCAGGTGCCCTGCTCTCAAGCAGACGGCATCAGTGCTCCCGGTAACGCACAGGCAAGAAGGAAATGGCGAGAGGGATGCAGATTCTCCGTCAGGCCTCCAGGGAAGATCAGACTGCTGCCTCTGGCTGGAGCTGAGGCTTGGCACTGATACGTACAGTCGGTTCTCGGTGGGCACGGTAGTTACGTTCTAAAGTCACTGCCAACGCTGAGCGAGCATGGACGGAACCACTGCCCTTAGAGGAGACAGGTTCGGCTCCTGCGTGCCTCTGTTAGCAATGTCATCAACCAGCCTTTGATGCACATAAATTAGCAAGTAAAAGTGAATTCACGAAGGTGCAATCTGCAAACAATGAGGGTCAGCTGCCTATGTCGCTGGATTCGGAGCGCCTTTCCGCTCCCCTCCCGCTCCAGCGCCCAGCGCAGCCCCGCCGTGGGCCTCACCACGCTGCCGTCTCACGGGCCCCTCTCCCTGCCAGCAGTCTGTTACCGCTCACCCCCCGCTGCTACTTGTCTGTGACCCTAGGAAAGAGCAGTCACCCCTAGGTCCCAGTTAGCCTGGCTACAAAACACTTAGACACTAACTGAATTCGTAGGCTTGTCCTGTGGGTAAAACTGTGAAAAGATGAAGTGCCAGAAAATGTAAGATGTTATAATAATTATGTTACTAAGGATAAATTTTGAAATAGGCCTTATAGAGCTTCCATTTGGCTACTCTCCCCATGCCGAGGCCCTCCTTTTCCCAGGGTCCACGGCAAAACCAGGCTGCTTGCCAGGCTGTGCGCGGGACTCAGGAGTCCCCTCGCTAACTGGGCTTCCCCGCAGGCTGCTTTCCTTGCTTGAAGGGCCGCTCCCCTGCTGCCGCTCCCAGGCTCTCAGTGCTGCTAATAAACACAAATTGAATACAAGTAGTTCCATCTTCCCTCCCTCCTTTACCCCTACGGAATGACAGTGTAGGAATAATAACAATAAAAAGGTATAAACCAGCAGATAATGGGAAAGAAAATGACCGTAGAGGACACAGCACCACCATTTTGGAAGACGGTCAAGTGCTAAGTGATTTATTGGTGGGGGAAGGGAAAAGCCCTGAAATTTGACTGCCAGCGGAGGCGAGGGACCGAGAAACCAGCACGAAGTAGGCTATTCGACACTGCAGGACCCTGGAAAGGGTCAGGAGTTAAATGTGTGAGATACTTCTGGTGGCATGTGTGCAGGTTGGGGCTGAAAACAGCAAGACTATAGAAGGCCTGTAGGGGACTGGGTCCGCAGAAACCCCCCCCTTCTGCGCTGCCCACCTCCTGACCCCGACAGACAGTCACCCAGGAGGCTCTGCACAGGAGAAGACTGAGCACCTAGGAGGACAGGAGTAAGGGTCCGTATTTAAAATAAGAGGAATGAGCAGTGAGACCGTCAAGCCTTGTCCACACTTACGCCTGCAGCGTAGAGTAGTAGAGGGTCCTCTCTGGGAATCTGATCAGCCAAAGAGGAAAGGCCTTCGGACACTGCCCGGGGGTCTTAAAGCAAATGTCTGGGTCCTTGTCACCTGTCACCTTCCAGTCAGCTTTCTGGTCTCTCATTCTTGCCTGTGTATATACGCATGTTTGCAGCCTGCATTCCTAAACAGGAATGTGCAGACATCACCAGACATTTGAAGAAAGCCAGAAAAATAAAGACCAAAACTGAAAAAAAAACAAAGGAAATCAGAGAAACAAAACAGGCAAGATGAAAAAAAAAGTGTTAAAATGATATTCACACAACAGTAGTTCTTAAACTTGGTTGCATATTAGCATTAACTGGAGATTTCTAAAATTGTTTCCTCTCCCAGACAACACACGAGACTGATTTAAATCACAATTTCTGGAATAGGATTCAGAAACTGTATTTTTTTAAAGCTCCCCAGAGCATTTCAATATGCAGACAAATTTGAGAACTGCTGTCACAGATAGATGAGCAGATTCTACATCCATGAAATAAAAACAGAAGACTTACAAAAGGAACATGCAGTACAGCAAGAAGGCACAACAATGATAAACATGTTGCCTGATAACAGACCCTCAGAGTATATGGGGCAAAAGTTGAAAACTGAAGGGAGAAAAAGACGGGTCTACAGTAATAGCTGGACACTTCACTACGCCACAGGCAATAGTGGATAGACAGCCAGACAGAAGAAGATGAGGAAAGAGGGCTTAACGCACACAAACTGAAATACCTTCTTTGACCACAACAGAATCAAATTAGAAATCAAAAATGGGAGGAAAACTGCAAACCCCACACATTTTTGGCAATTAAAAATACACCACCAACGGGTCAAAGAAGAAATAACAAGAGAAATGAGAAAATGCTTAGAAACAAATGAAAACGAGTACATAACATACCAAAACTTAGAGGGCGCAACAAAAGCAGTGCTCAGAGGGGAATGTATAGTTGTAATGCTCCCATTAAAGGGGATCTCAAATCCAAAGATGGACAAAGACATTTACAAGTTCACCCTTGTAAAGTACGATTTGGTGGCTTTTGGTCTGTTCACAAAGTTGGCCATCAGTCATCAGGATCTAGAAAAAGGAAAAAATTACATCCAAAGCTGGAGGAAGAGGAAGAAAATAATAAAGATTAGAGCCGAAATAAGTAAGGGAAAAAACAATAAAATCAACAAGACCTGAAGTTGGTTCTTTATTAGCAAAATTTCAGGCCTCAGCCAAAGTATCTAAGGGAAAAGGAGACTCAAAAACTACAATCAGAAATTAAAGTAGGGACATTACTGTCAATTCTACAGAAAGAAAAAGAATTAGTACAATGAACAACTGCATGCCGACAACGTGGATGACCCAGACAAAGTGGACAAATTCTTAGGAGCAAGGAACCTACCAAGCCTGACAAAGAACATTGGAAATACTTGAATCCATAACCAAAATTAAAAAATCGAAGTAGAACAGATTGATGGTTGCAAGAGTTAGTGGGGGTGAGGGGGGAAAAATGGGTGAACTGTTATTTTTAGTTTAAATAAATCGAATGAATTTTTCAAAAAATCTAAGTATACATAAAATGAAATTTTTAAGTGGACCATTTTTAAGTGGACGATTCGGTGGCCTTAAGTACATTCACACTGTCCTACAACCATCACCACACTGCAGCTTCAGAACTTCATCATCCCACACTGAAGCTCTGTACCCATTAAACAGTAATTCCCACCCCACCCCTGAGCCCCTAGTAATGTCTCTATTTTCTGTCTCTGAATTTGCCTGTTCTATGTGATACATAAATGGAATCATACAAAATTTGTCCTTTTCCATCTGGCTTATTTCACTTAATATTTTCTAGGTTCGTGTGTCAGAATGTCCTTCCTTTTTAAGAGACTGCATGATATTGCATTGTGTGTATAAACCACATTTTCTTACCATTCAACTGTTGATGGACATGGGGTTGCTTCTACTTTTCAGCAATTGCAAACAATTGTGTGTTGGTGTAAAATAACTTTGAGTCCCTTCTTTCAGTTCTTTCGGGAATAAATGTAGAGGTGGGATTGCTGGATCATATGGTTAATTCTAGGTTTAACTTTTTGAGGAACTGCCATACTGTCTTCTGCAGTGACTGTACCATTTTACATTCCCACTAACAATACACAAAGTTGAGCATTCATTTTTACAAGTCCTTATTAAATAGTCTGTTGTATTTAACACAGACCAGGTGGAAATGCACTGCTGAGAGCTGTGCCTACCCAGATGGACCGCTGTAGATTCAAGCTCAAGGCAACTGACCTGTTACTGTTACTGGAGGTTAAAGATGAAAGATCAAGTGACTGAAGTATATGAAAAATTGCTGTTCTTTCCCAGGAAAGAGAACTGCCATGTCAGCGGCCTTACTAATGCTTGAAAGCTCCATGATCCTCACAAAGATTAGGATTTCAGAAATACCAAAGAAGGAACTAGGTCAGGGATCCCTCAACATTATATTATGAAAATTGTCAAAAGAATTTTGTGATAATTGGACAGTGAACCCTTACATATCTACCTAAATCCTACAATTCACATTTTGCTAAATTTATCACACATCCATCCATCCCATCCACTCATCAATCCATCTTGCATCTCAAAGTAGGCTACAGAAATCAAGGCATTTCACCCCTAAACACTTTAGCATGCATACAATTAACTGGAGTTCAAATATATTTACCATTCTTTTGTTAGGTGAAATTTATACATAGTGAATCCAATTGATGACTTTAGGAACTAGGGCCTTGCTGAGATATAGTTCAGATAGCATGAAGTTCACCCTTGTAAAGTACAATTTGGTGGCTTTTGGTCTATTCACGACGTTGTGCATCAGTCACCACTCATTCTAGAACATTTTCACCACCCGAAGAAGATACCCCATATTCATTAGCAGTCACTTCCCGTCCTGCCCTCCCCCAGTCCCTGGTGAAACTGACTCACCCCTGCCTGTAGGTATGCCTCTTCTGGGCCCTTCTGGTAAATGTGGTCTTCCAGATTTAGCTGCTTTCATTTAGGGTCATGTTTTCATGGTTCACGGGTGTTGTGATTTGAAGGGTTTTCACCTGCATAATAGGCAGGGGTTTTCTTAATCTGCATTTTCTCAGAAAAGAGTCTGTAACTTTTATCAGTTTTCCAAGGTGTCTATGACTCAGCCAAAGAATAAAGACTCTCTGCTCTAAGGACACGTGTGAAGAACTGGGACACTGGTGTGAAAGCCCACCCCTTCGTAAACACTCAAGGGGGGGAGATTCGCCCAGGAAGAGTAAACGTCTTACTCTCTGCTCAAGGGAGACCTTGAGTGCAGCTGAGAGGCACACAGGGCTCCTAACCTTGCCAAGCTATTACGGAAAGGGCTGCACGACCCCCAAGGGCACAGTGGCTCAGAGCCAACAGACTTGACAGCGAGGCACCCTGGTCCCTTAAAGTTCTGGAGCCATAAATGAGCTTTTGTGCAAGATCAGAGTAGAGGCTGGAACTGAGCTCCTTCAAGAGGCTGGGCAGCCCCAGCCACTCTTGTGGAGGAAAATACTGAAGAGAGGGCTGGCCAGAAAGCCAGAGCCAAGCCAGCCTGCTGCTGACGGTATGTATATATATGTGCCCTCAAAACACTCACCCTGTTCATGGTCTTTTTCTTCCCTCAAGATTCTCCAGAAAGTTTTTTTTGGAAAATCGCAGCTTGGTCTGAGCCTTCTGTACCCTGCATTGGGGCCAAAGGACTCAGCATAGCTGAGCCACTGTCCTGAGGAGGTGGGGGGTCTGCTAGGTGATACTGACCCAGTGGGACTCAGACCCGGGGAACAGCTCAGATTCCCTGGCCCGGCACTCCCGAAATAGAAAATGCCAGTCCCGTCGTCAGGAACAGTGTACTTACTTATATATTTTTAAAAATAAAAGATCTGAAGCAAATAAGGTAAAATGTTAAGATTCAGCAGAGTTGAGTAGTGGGCACACAGGTGTTTGTTTTATCTTCTCTCTAGTATGAATTAGAGATTTCACCTAAATGAAATAAAACACATGCAACATTCACTCAATGAAGTTTATTGAGTGTACTGTGTGCCTAATTAGCACTGTCCTAGGCAGTAACAGGAGAAAAATTACAAAACAAGGTATCAACAAGGGAAAACTATACTCTGCACTATATTTGCTATCATTTCTATATTGTTTTTCAAAGAGTCCCTGGGTCGTTCTGCAGTATGTGGTATCCCTTTCTCCACGTCCCCTAAAGCTTCCGGCCCTATTAAATTAATGTGCTGCTAGGACCATCCCCCAACACGTCCCCTAATGTGCTCATCCACTTCGAGGAGCAGCTTCCTGCTGATGGGGCAGGTAGCTTTGGTCCTTCTGTGGTGGGGGAGGCATGTTGGGAGGGCTCAGGGTACTCACAGTGAATCACGGGGAGGCCAGACGGGGGAAGCCACAGAGGGGGCCCTGGGGCCCCCGCTCACCCCTCCCCAGGATATGTGCTTAAAGTGCTAACACTGTAAGAAAAAGATGCACAGCTACATGCTGTCCTGGAGGCCACCAGACTCACCTCCCTCTAGTCCTTCTGACTTGTGCTAACACCAGGCACTGGCACCACCAGAGGCCAGGCCAGGGGAGATGCCCACTGCCCAGTGAAGAAATGGGAAAGCCCAGTATATAACCTACGAAGCCCAAAAGGAGACGGGGCCAGAGAAGGGCAGCGAGGTATGCAGCAAGAGGGACTAGTTTGTGCTTGGCCAGTACCTCTGGGCCAGGGGTTGGTCCCCGTGCGGAGGGCAGCTAGGCTCTGTGCAGCGAGCGGGGTTCTAAATGTTCCCCAAGGGAACGAAGCTGTGTAGCATGGGAAGGAAATCTAAGACGTGCAGGGCTCTCTGTGTCCCCCAGCCAGGGACGCCCACCATGCCTGCTGTATAAGGTGCTGAGTATTGGTATGGGGCACAGAGCAGGCCCAAGTCAACAGGGCCACGCCACACAGACGCTGGAGGGCCTCTGAGCACACCCAGACGGAGTTCTTCACCTGGGCACAGGTGTCACATGCAGGTCCCCACCCCAAGTTAGAACAAGGGGCTTAGGTCCAGAGGGCAGCCTTGCCAAGGACACCTGTGCCTCTGAGGGGCACATCCCAGTGAAGTGCCTCATGTGGATGACACAGAGGGTGTCCCATCCTCATGTGGATGACACAGAGGGCAAGGGAAGTGGCAGGGGTATGACCTCTTGGTGGCGCAACATGGCCAAGCAAGCCCCCGTCTCGCCTGCCGCTCACAGCCAGATCTCATCACTGCTCACACTGGACACCCGGTAGATGTAGCCCAGCATTGGGAGACGGATGAAGCCTGTGGGGTCAGAGATGCCCAGGGGTCTCAGTAATCCTCAGTCCTCGGCAGCTGGGAGAGCCCTCTCTGCCCCCTGGGGACACGGAGGCCTCTGTCATACACATAAGGGCCGCGCAGCGGAGGCAGAGGCGGCAGGCCCCTCTCCCAGTACCTCGGCTGGTGAGGAGGCCGCCGGGCTCTGGGTCCAGAAGCTCCGGCCGGCTGTTGTTCCGAGCCACGTGCCCATCTGTGGGTTTCCCTGTTGGGTGCCAAAGGGGTGGTGCCCAGGACGAGGAATGTGCCTGGTGGGCCTAGCTCCCCTAAGTCCCAGGTCTCTTTCTCGAAGAACCTCCGAAGATAAAGCAGGGCATGCAGAGGGTCCCGGATGTACCTCTGGAATCCGGGGTGAGGTCATTGAGCTGCAGGTTGGACGGCAGGGACATGTTCTCCCGCGGCAGGCGCACGTTGTTGAGTTTCAGGTTATTGGAGTCACTGCGGGCGCACAAAGCCAGCAGGCGCGGGTTCCTGCCTTGCCGCTGGCTCCAGAACTACCAGAAACCCCAGCTTTCCAGGCGCCCCCATGCTGCATCCCAGGTCCACCCATTCGCCCAGCCGGCGAAGCATTACCTAGAGATCAGAGATGGGCGCCGGGAGGGGCCTGAGGAGAAAGAAACGGCCCCGCTTTGCTCAGTGTGCCCACCCACTCTGCCTCTGCCCTATGTCCTGCCAGACCCAGGACCCTCAGGCAGTGGGGTTTCTCAAATGCCCAGTGCTGGCTCTGGGACCAGAGACTGGGATCCCAGCACCTGCCCTGCCACCTGGGATGCATGTGGTCTTACCCACGGCTGTACCAGGAGGACCTTCTGCCACTTGTCAGAGATGACTTGACCCGCCCAGTTCCACTCCCTGCCCTCGCTGCTCACCCCGACCCCTGCCCCCCCCAGCTGCCCTCCGCTCTCCTGCGCTGTGGCCCTACCTTTGGTCTTCTTCTCTTTTCTGCAGACCAGGCAGGCCACCAACGTGCTGAAGCCCACCAGGGTGCCCAGGGCAAGCCCTCCAGCCACAACGAGGCCCAGCAGTGGCACTTCCACCCGGGTGGCCAGGAGCCCTGCAGGTCATCCTCTGGTTAGGTTCCAAGTGAGTGGGACCCCCAAATCTGAGATGCCACCATACTACTCTGTTCTGCCTGCTCAAGGTGTCTGGGGATAGCTCATTCACAAGACTCACCCCAAGGGCAACAAGTCTCCCCATTTCTCTACTGTGATCCCGCTCCCATCTGAGGCTTTGCTGAGCCAGTTGCTGCAGTGCCTACCTGGGGCCGGAAGCGAGGCGCTGGTGACACCCACATCGTTGGTGGCCACCACCGAGAGGTTGTGTGCCAGGCTGCGCAGCTGCAGCTGCACCGTGTGGTTGGTGAGCCAGGGGTAGTTCTGGGCATCCAGCACCAAGAAGTTGGAGGCGTTCACGGTCACTGGCCCATCCTGGTCAATCCAGGTCACATTGGCAGGTGGGTTGGCACGCACCAGGGCAAAAAGGACAACCAGGAGGCCTGGGCCCGGAGCTTCCTGGTACTTGGCCCCAACCTGGGCAATCTCCGGCTTAACTGGTGCAAAGCAGAGGCCAAAGTGCTCTCATCCCAGCCCTTCATACTTCCTGCCCTTTCTTCCCAAACCTAGAAGGGAGCCCAGGCCTGGGCCTCTCCTGTGGGGGGCACTGGGAAAAAGGATGGCTGGGTCTGCCAGAGAGGTAGCATTTCACAGTGATCAAGAGTCTAAACACCAGTGCCCGGAACCTTGAATGCTGGCTCTGCTACTTACTGCTGTATGACCTTGGGCAGATTGCTTAACCTGTCTGTGCCTCCATTTTCTTGTTTGTAAAATGGGGATAACAATAGCAATTACCTCATCAGATTACTGTGAGTGTAAAGTGAGTTAATATTTGCAAAGTGATTGCTTAAATGTTTTTGTTAAATGTCCTATCAGACCACCAGCCCAGTGGCTGCTGGGGGTCGCTGCGCAGAGAACCTCTCCCTGTCCGTTACAGGGGCACTCACATTGCACATTGAGGATGACGGAGGCGTTGGCTGACCGGCCACTGCCCGGGTCCTGCAGGGAGCAGTTGAGCTCATGCTGGGCCCGCTGGGCAGTAACAGTGAAGGTGCTGGTGCCTCCAGAGAAGGCCTCCCCACCCACACTCAGCAGTCTCGAGGTGCTGGCCTCCTGCAGCTGTCCATCCAGGTACCAGGCCAGTCGGGGGGTGCCAAGCCCCCCTGTCACCCGGCATGTGAAGGCGTGACGTTCATTCTCCTGAAGTGCCCGCTCAGCCCAGGTGTGACCATCAATTTGTGGTGCCAATTCCCCCCAACCTGGAACACAGTGAGGGGGTTCTGGGGAGAGCTGAGGGAGGATAGGTACTGTTCCGAAACCGGAATGAGGTCCAGTTACAGAGGCGCCTTAGGCTGACAGGTGGAGAGCCCGGGTTCTCTCACTAGGGAGTGACTGGACCTTGGGTAGGTGGGTGACAGGAGCGCAGCTCTGGGGCCTGGGGCCTTAAGTGGGTAACCAAACCGAAGGGGCAGACAAGGAGGGGAGAGAGGGGGCCCTGACCCGAGCAGTGCGTGGCCAAGGACGAGCAGGGGTGTACCTGAGCTCAGAAGGGCTGGCAGGAGCAGCAGTGAGTGCGGGAGGGTGGCTGGGCCTGGAGGCAGCGCCATGGTGACCGGGCCGGGCCCCAGGCTGCCGAGAGAAGGGGCGGGCCTCGGGGTTGGCCAGGTGAGCGCAGGCAAGCTTGGTAATTCCTCTAGGAATTTACTCTCCAGAAACAAAAGTAAACCACGCAAAATGTAGAAGGCGAAGACGGAACAGCGAAGCCCAAAAGCCCAAACCCATCCAGCAGGCACCTGCACACCCCGCGGGAGCAGAGGGCACGCTACGTCCTGGGACGCACAGGAGCAACGAGCCGCCGCGCAGCCCGGCCCGGGCCCAGACCTCACGCGCACGCAGATGCTCGGGTACAGGTGCCCTCCCCGGGCCGTCCTCCCGACCCCTTCTCTCTCTGCCCCACCCGCCCTCCCATCCTGCCCGCGGCTCAGGCGGACGTGGGCGGGACGGGCCTCCGCCGCGGCTCACCTGGCTCCCTCCCGAAGCTCCGCCGAGCGACTGCTCAGGTCTGCGGAGCGCCGCAGTCCGCCGCATCGCGGGGGCGCGCCAGGCAGGGCCAATCACTGCCCGACACCGCCCCCGGCCCCGCCCCGGCGTCAGGTGGGCGGTGGCGCCGCAGCAGCCCGGCCTCCTGCGCCGGTCGCCCGCGTGCCCGGCACCTGCGGGGACGACGGTAGGACGCAGACACAGGCGGGAAGCGGGGAGACCGGCAGCTTTATTGGTTGGGGGCCCGCGGCCGGCTCAGCGCCCGTCGCGGGGCTGGCGCAGCTGCCCCATCACGTCGGCCAGCATGCGGTTGCAGAGCGCGGCGTACGGGTTGAGCAGCACCAGCTGGCGCCGCGCGAAGGGGCTGCCCAGCCGCGCCGCGCGCTCGAAGTCCCTACGGGCGTCGTCGTCGCGTCCCTGCAGCCGCGCCAGGAGCCCGCGCTGCACGAAGCCCTGGCGGGCCGCGCGGCCCCGACCGCCGCTCAGCGCCACCGCGCGCTCCAGGTCCTCCAGGGCGCCTGCGGGGCGGGACGCGCAGGGTCAGAGCCGCGGGGCTCCGGCGACTAGAGGCCGGCTCTTGGTCCCCGAGGTAGCTGGTGTTATTTATCCCCGCTACCAGCCGAGGCCGGGGAGAGTTGGCAGGGCTTGCCTGGGCTGCACAGCCAGCTTCGTGGCAGAGCTGGGACCAAAGTCCCGGTCTTGCCTTGTTCTTATTTCATCTACCTTTATACAGGTGCTGGGAGGATTTTGAATAGTCGCTGTGTTCGTGACTCTGAGCCCCTTTGCTCAGCGCGTAGCAGGCAGTTTATTCCATACATTTTTCTAAGCATCTGCCATGTGCCAGGTGACTGAGTATCAGAGTCCAAGAAAATCGTAATGGACTGACAACCATTTTAGGAATACAATAAAAGCCATTTCTCTCTCTTTTTTTTTTTTTGAAGGCTTTTCTCTCCTTTTTCCCACTGTATGCTTTAAAACAGCTTCTCTCTCACCTGTTTCCACAGACTGCCTTTCCTCACTCTTTATCTCCTTGATCTTCATTATTTTGTATCTAATTTTCCTTGAAGGAGGTCTTGGAGTTGGAGCTGGCCTGCACGGTTTTTATTTTTATCATCCTAAGAAAATACTTGGATTGGACATCAGAACTCGGTGTCTACTGTGAGGTCCGCCGAGCTGCGTTTCTTCTGGGCCCAGCTGCAGCTCCCTCGGGTTCTCCGAAGAGCCTGTTGAGGCTGTTAGGGAGCTCCAGCTTCATCCTAGAGCAGCGCTAACCCTCCCTGCCCGTCTGTCTCAGTCCCTGGAGGCCAGCAAGGGCCGTGCCCCAGATGGTTTAGAAGCCCTCTGATCACAGCATTCCTCAATTTTACTCAGAAGAGTTTGGAGAAACCAAAAGACACCTCCAGGCGGAATCGCCTCTGACCCCGCCTAGGGTTTTGGTCTGCAGGTTGTCCCCAGCGGCCTTTACAGCCTTGCCCTGCCAGAGCCAGGTACCAGAGAAGCCTGAAAGGGGCCCTAGGGGTTCCCCACCATTTCCAGCATGGAGCCCAAACACCCAAGCTGGCATTCCTGGCCCGAGGAACAGCGCATCACAGTGAGTCCCAACAGTCTAGTAGTTCCCTGCTTGGCTTCAGCGGTTTACACTTTTGGATCAGTGTGCTCGGTGGTCCTCAGCAGCTTGGACCCGGGCACTCCTCAGTTAAAACCCTTTAGTGATTCCCCCATGTTTTTAAGACACAGTCCAACCTTGGCCTAATGTTCCCAGTTCTTCACCAACTGGCCCCTATTTGCCTACTGCTCTAGGCTCCACTCTCCTACCACTGCCCGTGACAGCCAGCCAGCCTGGAGATCTGGCGTTCCTGTACCTGCTCATGTCCTCTGGGCCTCTCTCTACAGGCTGTGCCTTCTCCCACTCAATGCCCCTCCGTGCATCTGACTCCTATTCATCTTTCAAAACTCACCAGTCAGAAACAGATCTCATGCTATCCCAGCTCAGCTTATGGTGGTATCACAATTAGATGTCTCTCCTCCCCGTTGGACTGGATGCTTCTAGAGAAGCTGCATCATGTGCGAAGTAAGAGCACCTGCCCTGGAGCCCTGCACCTGGTTCAAGTTCCAGCTCTGCCACTTCTCAGCTGCCAGAGAGCAGCGTGCTGCTTAACCTCCATGCTTCAGCTTCATCAGTAAAATGGGGAGAAGAGCAAAATGTACCTTTTAGGATTAGGATTGTTCTTAGGATTAAATGAGCTGCTGTAGCTTACGTGGAAAGTGCGCAGTGCCTGGCACGTAGTACCTGCCATCAGTAGTATGTCTTCCATCTTTGCGTCCTTAGCACCTGGCCTACTGCCGTGTCAGTAGGCTCTCATTAAATATTAAATGGATAAGTGGAATGCGGTCTTTTCTAACTTCTCCCAATAGCCCCAGGAGACAGGCAGGGCCCACAATATATCTCTGATAGGTAAGAACATAGGTTCAATGGTTTAGTGACTGCCACCCACGGGCCCACAAGCCCTTCATCTTTGGTCTGTGCACTCCAGGACCCCTTCTGTAGAGGCTCTCTGGCCTCTCCTCTCACCTGCCACATCTCCCTGGAGTCGCCGGGCCTGGGCTCGGTTGTTGTAGGCTGAGGCCCTCTCAGGCAACAGGTCGATGGCTTGGCCAAACCTCTCCAGGGCTGTACTGAGGTCGCCAGCCTCGGCAGCCATAACCCCCTGCAGCTCCAGAGCCTTGGACTGCTCCAGCTGTGCTCGAGGGAAAACTCCATCTGTGCCAGGGAGGGAGCCAGAAGGGGACAGGTACGCAGTCGGGAGCAAGAAGGAAAAGCCACCTCAGACTTTGGAAACGTGAGACCTGAGCCAGAGCTCAGGGCTGGGGTGCAGGTCAGAGGAGTCGGATACAGTGTTAGGGCAGAGGTCCCCAAGGCTGAGCGCTAGAGCTGCTGAAGTTACAAAGAGGCCTTAGCTGGCTCCCGGTTTCCAAGAGAATGAAAGCCAAACTCCTTGGTCTGTAGCTAAATGATCTGCTCAAGGTCACAAAGGCCATATCACATGGTTTGGATTTGAACCCAGCTCTTTCTGGCTCCTTAGCCTGTCCCCATCTTGTCCTACTACACTGCCTACAACGTGGAGGCCTCCATGACATGCCCAGGTCACCACAATCACTTCCACTTTTCAGCCTGAGGTTTCAGGAAGGCTTAAGCTTCAGTCCTGTAGAAACGAGGGCATTGAAACCTCCTGATGGTGACGTCAGTCCCCGTTAGGGCCTGCTGGGCAAGCCCGTGAGTGCATTCACTCTGGAAGCACTAGCCCAGGGCTCGGCGTGTAGTGGCGTGACCCTGAGCACTTGCTTAGGGTCTATGCACCTAGGTTGGAGCTCTCAGCGGAGCCACCCCGTGCTGTCCCAGTCCCCTGATCCGTCTGTGTGGGGTGATCTGTTAGGACAGAGATGTGTGAGTCTAACATGGCCCGCTTCCGCCAGTACAGTTAAGCTTAGATCACGGGGTGAATCAAGTGGGGAGGTTAAGTGCAGAGGTGGGAGGGCTGAAGGGCTGAAATAAAACCTGGCTTTCTCCTCCTGGCAGAGCGACTCTTTGCCAGGCCCCCATCAGTGCATGAGAGCCAACCAGCCCCTCTGATTCCAAGCTCAGTTGTCATCCAAGGGTCATGGAACAAGGGGCCTTGTAAGACTACCTCCCTGTCACCCCGGTGAGGGCAGCAGACCAGGCCTGGCGGAGAGCTAGGCTCCAAGGTCAAATACTTGCCTCCATCTGCTTCCTTCTCCGCGTCTTCTTCCAGGTCCAGCCCAACAACGTCCCCAAATGGGGTGTCAGGGTTGAAGATGGCCTGCAGCACTGCCTGATCATTCGGGGTCCCCATGGTGCTCAACTCCCGAACCCAACAGGTGACTCGGGGTGAGAGGAGGAAAAAGGGGTGGGAGTGCAGCCTGGCAGCCAGTTGGACTAAAAGATGGAGGTGCAGCTTGAGGCCCATCCCCTGGGAGGAGGCGTGTCTTCCATTCCTAGACTGTAGTGTAAATAATCAACTCCCTTTGGCCTGGGGTTAGTGACCCCAGCTTGGCAGAATGTTTACAAATATTTCTCAACTGCCTCCCCACTCTCACCCTATCCTAGGAGAAACAAGAGTAAATAAATCCAATTTCATCCTTAGGTGGAGTGGGGCACAGAGAGGGCTCTGTCCAGATGCTCCCTGAAATGTTCCCTGAAATTTTTCATTGATTGGAAGAAAATTGTTAGGAGCCACTGCTTGGCTGCCCGTGAATGCAGGGGGGATGGGCAGGAGTAAAGGGGCTGCTGCTTTGTCCTCTTGGCTGCTTCTCCTTCCCCAGAATTAATTAGGTCCTGAACAGACATCACCGATGAGTTAAGGGAAAGAAGATACTGTGAAGAGAGCCAGTGTGTGGGGCGGGGCCTGGAGCGAGGCGATGGGGAATGTTCAGTGATTTGACCTTAAAATGAAAGGATGTGGAAGGCGCTTTGGCATCAGGTCACAGGCCGCAGCCCACCCTCACTTCTCCACCCCTGCCAGGGCCGTAAGAAAGCTCCACCTTGTGCAGCAATAAACTTGACATGTTTATTAATTAAACTATCACTTAAATAAAAAAAAGTGCATAGAAAATAAACATGTTTAAAAACTCCTTTTTTTTTTTTACAACTATGTACACTTTTTACTTTTACATTCAGTCTTTCGTAGAGAGCTTTCAGCATTATTATTTTTTGAACTATTAAAGTATTTTCCTTCATCCCTGTCACAGGGAGTTAACACTGATGGACTTTAGACACATATTTTTCCTTTTTTTTTTTTTTTCTCTTTTTCTCTAACCATAAGCTTGGAAGAACACAAAGAAAAAAACCAAAAGATCTGTTATACATGATAAAGTTGTCAAGAAATGTCTTATTTCTAGAAAAGAAGCTTGTCAACTGTTGAGCTTTTGAAACAATTATTCAACTACCTGTATTTACTAAAGAGACTGTTAAAAGTTCAATAAAAGAAACACCACAAGTCTATTTTCTTGGTTGAAAGACAGAACTAGAGTACCTGGGAACAAGATACCAGGAAAGCACAGAACACAATTTTCCCCTAAATGCAGGTGGTAACCCCAACATTCATAACCAAAAGTAGAGAAACAAGGGGTACAGGTACTGACTGGCAACACTCACGGCAGAAAAAAATCCAGGTGACCCCATTTCTGCATTTCTCTCTGATCCTGGGAATGGACGTTCTACCATCCCTTTAAGGTGTGGGTGTCCCCCCATTTTGGGGTATCAGAGGAGCGCCAGACTGACTTTTCCTGCCACTACTAGCAACTGTAACACAATCCTTATCTATAGTGTTAAGAGAATTAAAAGCCATGGACTGAACTAGGCTTCATTACATGGTGCATTACTATATTAATTCCTATATATATCATATTTATAATTATTTGAAAACCAAAACAAAAAAAGTTGCAAGTTTTCAGAGTCGACTGGTATTCATGATTCGGCACAAAACCGTCTGCTTATAACCTTGTATTGCTTGAAAATGAAGGAAATGAAACACAAAATTACACCCAGCCCTTTGCAATGACCCGCTTTTCCTTTAAAAAAAAAAAACAAAACAAAAACCCCAAAACGTGATTTCTTTTTTTAAAAACCTCAAATCAAACTTAGAAGTTAACATGACAAGGTTTTGACCTTTAGTATTTTCATATACTTGATTGAACATCAGTCCTTTAGAGAGATACATTCATTAGAAGATATTTTTTTGTTTTTTGTTGTGTACATATACATTTTAAATCAAGGGGGCTGCATGGTGCTCACTGCATTGGCCGGGGTGGGGGGGGGGAGGTTTGACAGAGGCAAGCGGGGTGGTAGACTGGATCCCAGCAAAAGAGCCTGGCTGAAAACTTACATACAGCTGCCTGGGCTTCCCCCACACGTCTTGTTATGGGTCTAGAGACGGGAGGGCTGTGCTGGAGGCAGTGGATGGGGGCAGAGGGAGCCAAGGGACCGACTTCCGGCCAAAGGGTCAGCGCCATGCAGCTCTCCTGGTTACACAGTTGTCACTGGCCACCAGGAAATGCAGCCACAACGGGTTCTAGCAGCAAAGCTCTAAGTGGGCTGGCTCGCCAAGTGCCCACCAGGTTTGCAGCTGGTACTCCTCAGGGATCTGGGTGCCCCTTGGGGGATTCTTGGGAACGACCCACCACAGTTCCTCAGTCTGCACTTTTGTGCAAAGCCTCCCTTGGTCACTTTCAAAACGAACTCAAGCGTTTTGGAGATTAGCTGTGCCGCCTTTTGCCTTCTGTCCCTCTTGTAGGGAAACCTTAGCTTAGTCCCCAAGGTGCTGGCAGGTATGCTGAATTTTGGCAATGGACTCAAGGCTGAGCGTTAGGAGGAATTGCTCATTTTCTGTGGCTGACAGGGAGTGACAGGCAAGGCGAGCCGTCTGCAGCTGGCAGGAGGAGGCTGCGGCCCCCCTCCGCCATGGGGTCGGGGACTGGTAGAGAGTGAGGCGGGGGCTCACAGTACAGCACGGCCTAGCAGGGCAGTAACTAGGTCTGTTTAGCTGAGTTTTCCCCCACCCCCTGACTGGCCTTTGGGTCTCTCAAGGTGAATTCATGACCCATCAGTGCATTAATCGTTTCAGTAACAAATGCAGCTTAAGGTTTTTTTCTTAAAAAAAAAAAAAAAGGAATTAAAGGATTTACAAAGAAACCTCACACAGTGCAATAATAAAGGAAAGCAGACACTAGTGGGACCCCTAGGGCCACTGTATCTTGTTCTCGGGCAAGAGGAAGGGAGGTGAGGTCTGGGTAGAGTGCTTTTCCCCAGGCCCCTGCTGGCACTTCTCCATGGCGACAAGGAAGTCTGCCATCCTGGACACAGTGCTGGGCTCCCTGCAGGACAGTGAAAACAGTGACAATGTTCCAGCAGAGCCACCAGACAAAGTTCTTAAGGTCACAGAGTAACAGGGAGCCCAGGATGGAAGGCACAGCAGAGCCATGAGTCCTGGGGCAGAGAGCGCGGGGCTGAGTCGTATTGCTTTGCTAGACTTCCAAAGGAATGGGCTCCTCGCGGCGGGAAGAGGGGGCCCCTCCCTCTACTGGACTACACTGCTCTGAAACCCAGTGGCCTGACAGGCAGAGGAAGATCTGCTTTATTGTGAGTGGTCAGACTGTGCTTCAGTTTCAACAGGCTGCCCCAAAAGAGGGCATGTGGGATCCACGGGTTCTTTGAAGGTATGAGGACTTGGTGGGCGGAGGGAGAGGGAACGAGGTGAACTATGAGGCAGATGGTGACGGGAAATGTCAGGTTGCCATTCAACTTGGTTCTTAACTCTGAAGTAGGAAAGATGAGGGGAATGGAGATTGCCACCTCTCGCCACTCTGAGCTGGTGCCAGAAAGGAGAGAGGCAGTGTGAGAAAGAAGAGGAGAAACTGCTGTGTCAAGAGACTAGGACAGCCTTCCGAGGAGCTTCGGTGTGGGAAGGAGGGGAGTGGCCCAGCAGAGTTGGGTGACCTTCCTTTTCCATTTATTGTCAAAGAGCAAACCCAGGAAAGAGACATTTATGTCAACAGGGCACAAACAAGCTACACATTAAACAACAAAAGTACACCTTCCAGGGGGAAGTTGGGCAGGAAAAACCAGACTTTGTGTGTACAGCTGAATATTTTCTCTAACTTCATCCTATGAAAATAAAAAATTATTAAAAACCGATCTTCTTTTAAATTAGGATAATACCGCGGTTTAAAAAATAGCCTTGTCATAAGTGCTTCTCCCTATGAAGTGCTTCTCATAGAAAAATATACAAAATATATTTACATTTATAAAACCTTAAATAGTAAACTGTAAACAGAACAGAGTAAAATCCAATGACTTAATTTAACAGGTTCAGGACAGTGCTGGGGAAAGGAAGAGAAGAACCATCCGATGCCTTTGGACCGCATCCTAAGGAGGAGCCGGGCAGTAGTGTCATTCAATGTACTTTATCCGTGGGTTCTGTGCGGTGGCAGAGGTCCCTCAACACAAGGTGGTCTAGTCCCCAAGTTTTGGGCTGTGAAATCTGATTAGTGTTCTGCCTTCAACTGGACACTGACCATTTAAAAGTTAAGTCTTCCTATGTCTTAACAAGGGGGAAATAAAGTTACCAGATCCTAGGAATGGGGTCCAGGGGTCCTCCTGGTTGGGATACTCTGCTTGTTGCATGGTTCAAATCCTAGTTAAATAATCTTTTTCCTCTTCTAGAAAATCATGCTACACATATGTCTTTAACACGCTCAGTGGAGCTTTATGAAACTTCTCCAAGTCCTGTCTGGTTCTGGCCAGTGGCTCCTGTCCACTTCCCCGCTGGGAGTGCTTCCAGGCTCAGGGAATGGCGTGCGGGCACATGCTGTGCCCACAGGGGTTGTCCTTGAGCAGGGAGTCACTCTCCTCTACCACCCAGGAAGAGCGGGAAAGCAGTGGGATGAAGAGGGGAGACGAAGAAAGTGGAGTGAAGAGAAGGAATGAGAGGGAAGCTGCTCCTACTTTCAAGGAAGGGACTTGGCGGAGGTAAGGCTCCCGGGGATAACACTCGCGCTGAAAGCCCACGGGCTCAATGTTTGGTGATTAGTTGGCACAACCCCAAGACAGCCTTCTGACACCGAAGGTGCTAAGAATCCTGTCTCCCCAGCAGAAGTGAACTCTCAAGTAGCAGGATGGTAGGGAAAACCACCAGACCTCTGTTTGTTCAACAGGTGGCTAAAGGCTGGGCCCGGTGGGCAAACCACCAGGTACCCAAGCGACCCTCCAGTTGGGGCTCTGCCTGACCCCTCGCTCGTGGCGCTTGGGAACGGGCCACGGCGGGATGGCGCCTTCTCTCTGAGATGCTCGGGCCCGATCTCCCAACACAACTAACCCTCTAGAGACTCCTGCCAGGCAAGTCTGCTAGGGACCCCATTTCCCGCTTTCTCATAGCATACAGTTAGGGGGGCCCC